ACATCCAACTTTTTGCAGGCTTCCCCACTGAGTTAACTGTTTTTTTGTGTTCCCATAGTCATTTTATTTCTCTGTTTAGGCAAGGAAATATCTCTAAAAGGATGACCTAACAAGGCACAGGTTGCTTAATATGGCATAAAAGATGATAATAATATACTACAATTTTAATTTGATATTTTATACTGTAACAGCATCTTGTGTGGTCTGAATAGTTTAACAAACCATAGTTAATTAGATGAACCATCATGTTCTATCCATGAAAAAACTCAGGTAATATATTTCCCCTAGTAGTTCCAGAGATCTTATTTAGAATTTCTGAATTAAAAAATGTGTTCCCATCTGTTTGAAAGGATAATATACAATATTGTGAGGAGTGGGAACGTTAGAAGTTTTCTGTCACAATTTTTGAATGCCACACTGGCTTGGTTCCCTAGAACATAATGTATAGGTAGTCCTCGACTTACAACAGTTCATTTACAACAGTTCATGTTTGAAGTTACAAAGGCACTGAAAAGTTTTTCACACTTACATCCATTGCAGTATCCCCTTGGTCACCTGATCAATTCAGATATTGGAAACAGAGTCATATTTATGACCTGGGGACATATGATTACCTTTTGCTATTTCCAACAAGCAAAGTCAATGGGGAAGCCAGATTCACTTAACAACCATGTTACTAACTTAACAACTGTGGCAAGAAGAGTCACAAAATGGGCAAAACTCACTTAACAAATGTCTCACTTAGCAACAGAAGTTTTCAGCTTAATTGTGGTTGTACGTTGAAATTAATTTTGTGTCAATGTGCGAACCATATTGCTATAGTAATACTCAAGAAACAGATATTTCAAAATCGGCATGGCACTGTATGTCAGATTTATAATATTTATTTATAATAGATACTTCTTTTGTGTTTCACTTCTGATGTCTTTTGTATTAACTTTTTGAATTTGTGTTTGTGTGGGGCTGAGGATGTTTATTTAAGCTTGTTTGTGTGGGGATTCTCTGGGACTGCCTTCTCCATTTCAGATATAGGGAATTAAATGCCAAGATTGTGGATAGCTTCAACCATTTGAAAATTTATTTCTGTAGAATGAAAATAAAGCAAATTCATTCTACAATATTTTCCTTATTACTGTAGGGCTATGATATCTGGGCTGCAAAACTTTGACAATCATCATTAAGGCAGCAGAGAGTTATTGTAAACTGGTTTGGTGCTATTTAGTGGTCAGATGGATTATTGCAACCCAGATATGGTAGCACTTGTGAAATTTATACTAATGTTTTTGTATGATATTGTAAACACACTGTGAAAGTAATAAAGTAAATAAAATAAAATTTTCTAAAAATACAACAAGCTATTTGTTTTATTCATCAAGATATACTCTTCTGTAAACTATGTGAATTTTTCTGTACATGTGTAACAAGCAATTATAGCTATTTTGGTCTATGAAAAAACATCTAAAAGTGGCAATTATTGGGTATTATTGGCACTAAAAATGGTACAAAATGGAGTACACACTTCATCTTAGATTAATTTGAAGACAAGCTTCCTGGATTGAAATAGCTAGCTAACATTTTGAATATCAAGTTGCTCTAAATCAATGATCATAATCTTCTCTCACAATACAGATCTTGTACCAGAGTTAATTACACATAAATTAAACTATCTTATTTAAAGTTAAAATATTTGTACTTATTCCAAATAATACATCGGCTAATATATATATAACCTATAATTTACCTTTGTGGACATATTTTATTATAAGTTTCTAAGGTATAGAGCAGCGTTTTTCAATTAGTTTCCATTGAAACCCTAGGTCATAATTTAAAATGAAACCCTGCTTTTTGAAATGCTAGTGCTTGCACAACCTAGTTTGCTGATGTTGTGAACATTGTAAATCATAATTTATCTAAGTTAGAAATGAATTGTATTGTGAAGTATTGTATTTTTTGCCAGAGTTTCCTGATAGCTGAAAATTATTTCAAGGATTCTTCTAGTAAAAGAGTTAGGAAAATATGCTAGAGATATTGATTATGAAAAAAAGAGACATGAGACTGACTGGCATATCAGTTAATCTGTGTATCTGTATGTTAAGGATGTGTCTATGTGTGAGAGGGGGGGAGGGAATAAAAAATTAATTTAAATTATGTTTTGTTATTTACATTTAATGCAATTGAAACCCTGGAAAGTACCATTATGAAATAAAATAATTACATTGGATCCAGTTGTTGATGTATCTGATTTGCAAACTGCAATCCAGTTTGCAGTCTTTAGGATTCCAAAGATTTGTCTATTTGGAGTTCACCTCTTTGTTGAAGACTGCATCCTTTCTTTGTACATGTGACAATTATTAACTTTTAGGGCAAATGTTAAGAGATGAATAAAGGGGACATTCCTTTGCACATTGATCCTATGTCTGTTTCTTGCCTTGATAATTCTTAGTTGACTAATACTAATAGCACTTAGACCAGGGGTGGGCAAACTACGGCCCGGGGGCCACATCCGGCCCGTTGGTCTTTTTAATCCGGCCCGCCGAAGATTGGTACAGAATTAAGGTTTGATGTGAATGATTGAATGATTGCATTCGTTTGATTTTGACTTGTAATGACAGGCATTTCAACACCAGGTGGCAGCCCATCTGTCAAATTTTAAAAGTCAATGAGGCCCCCGAGCCAAAAAGTTTGCCCACCCCTGGCTTAGACTTATATACCACTTCACAGTGCTTCACAACCCTCTCTAAGCAGTTTAGAGAGTCAGCCTATTGCCCCCAACAATTTGGGTCCTCATTTTCCCCACCTTGGAAGGATGGAAGGCTGAGTCAACCTTGAATCCTGTGAGATTTGAACTGCCAAATTGTAGTCAGCCGGCAGTCAGCAGTCAGCAGAAGTAGTCTGCAGTACTGCACTATAATCACTGCGCTCCCTTGGCTCAGTAATGCCATTAAGTTGAAGAGATAACTGTATCTTTTATGTTTTATTGATGTTATTATTGTTTCTATGTTTGAATGTTTGGGATTTTTTTTGTTTTAATTATTGCCAGTTATTTTATTCTTTTTTATTATATTGCTATAGATCTTGATATATTATATACCATATTGTTTCAGTACAATATTGTTTATTGGAGATTATTAGTTTTCTGTTGTTTAGATAGTTTAGGATGTTGAGAATAGAGAAAAGAAGAACAAAAATGCTATTAATATTAATTATAATTTTTGGAGTATCAATGTTACATGCATAGAATTATTTGAGTTTTTCATCCAAAATTGCATATAACATTGAAACAAGAACGTCTGCAAATGACCTCAAAGTATTTGTTATATGATAAAGTTTAGATCTTAAGTTGATTACTTAGTGTTTAATATACCATTTTATTGTATTTGTACACACAAAAATACACAGAGACATTAATAAAGAAAATAATTAGATAAAGCATATTTTAATAAGATTAAAATACTGAGAAAGAAAAAAAAGAAAACAAAATTTTAAAAAAGGAATTACTGAAATTCTGACTTATCCCTTTTATGACATCTGCTACTTTTCAATGTTTGTAAACATTTAGGTTAAATTATTTGGGGAAAAATATTCAAACTTTCAGTTGAATATAGCATTTTGCTCTTCTAAGAAATATTTTTTTCTTAAACTGTATCTAAACTTCTTTTAAACAACTGTACTAAGTAGCATGTGATAGGTTGTTATGGCCAGAACCTAAATCCAGTTTTTAATCCATGGCTTTCCTTAAAATGAATGCATTTAAATAATGCTATCGTATATCCATATATTCAAAAAAAAACTATAGTATATTAATAGGGTATGTTGTATAATGCCTTTTTTTAGGGTTGCAAAATCAATGAAAGTACCTGTATATGAAACACCGGCAGGATGGAGATTTTTCTCAAATCTGATGGATTCTGGTCGATGCTCTCTCTGTGGAGAAGAAAGTTTTGGCACTGGTAAGATTAATACTCTGAAAGCATTTCTTAATATTATTAAACTACAGCGCCTACTCCATTTTACAGCTCTAAAAGGACTATCAAATACATTCCTGCTGAATATATTAAACTTAGATTCTGAACTTTTGGAGCAAAAGCAAATACAGGATGCCCAGAAGACTTTTTTGATGCAACAGAAAAAGATTTTGTTCCTATATTAGCAGCATATTGGCATTTACCCCAAACAATAAAAACATGCTACATTCTACATAAAACATTTTGGAGGATGGGAAGAACATTATACATACAAAAACAGCAAATAAAGTGGTTAGCTCACCTGGGGAGGATGTTGTGGGATTCCATGTTGTACAAGGTATATAAAAAAAGGAGAAGGTCAAAGAATGTGAGGCAGATCCAGAAAAAGGTAGAGAGACAACATCAAAGATGCACTCCAACAACATCAACTAACAATGGCTGAGGGTGCCAGAAGAGCAAGAGCCAGAATTTTGTATCTCCCTCAACACCTAACGTGGTAAAAGAGGAAGTAAAGAAGAGAACAACAATAATGCATAAGTAAGCAGTTAATGATCTGCAAACCATTATAATGCCAAAGTGAAGGTACATGGGTGATGCCATCAGTGACCAAAGCTGCCACTGCATACTTGCCTCTCAGCATCTTATGAAAATATATAAATGGCAGCTTTTGTGTGATGAATTTAGGCATGTTTCATCGTTTTGCCCTCCACATAAGTTAATGCCAATCACTACCATGAAAACCTCTATAAATAAAAATAGCTAATTCAATTTTGAGTTGGACTGCAGGATATCTAAACGATTTCTCTCTTGCCTTCTCAGTCTACTTAAAATATGAATCAGAACAGCAACTTAACCTTATATGAACATGAAATTCTAATGTGTACTTTTTGCTTGAAATGCATGTGTGTTTTTGTTCAGTGAACTGGAGTTGGTAGAAACTTAATGATGAACTCTTCCGAAGTATATTGGCATGATCAGTATTTATCCATCAAACATTCTACTTTATATTTCATCCATTATACTTAGTACCTTTGGTATGTGGGCTTTATCTTTTTTTAAAAAGCATTTAAAGAATAGAATAAATAGCTGCATAAGATGAAAAAAGTGGGGGGAAATCTAGTCAATAAATTATTTATAATTATCATAAAATCCATTATTTCATTAATTAAATGCATAGAACTAAATTCATAGTATCATCTTAAGAAATAACTAAAAATCTATATAAAATTCTATATCGTAATACTGGCATTGGTATTAATGACACCACTTATTATGGTGCTCAGAATAAATGTACATAATCATGTTAAATGAAAGAAAAGGAAAAAAAATCAGAAAAGAAAAAAAGTATAAAAATCAGTAAAAACATAAAATTCTAAATTTCTTCCCAGACTGACTTATGATTATATCAAGATACTTATAAACAGTGCAATTACTTCTATCTGTATGTTAATTATTTCCCTTTACCATATTCTTAATATCTGAGTTTGCCTTGTTGTATAATATAGGACAAGGGTGTCAAACTCGCATCGTCACAGTGGCATCATGTGATGTATTGGGACTTTTTCCCTCTTCGCTAAACTGGGCGGGGGCGTGGCCAGCATTGATGCATCCGGCACGCAGGCTGGGAGTTTGACTGCCCTGCTATAGGATATATAGGGGAACCATTCTTGCTTATATTTAATAAAACTCTTTTTTTCTTTTTTGTGCTTTTTGTTAGTGTTGATTTCTGACATCTGCCTGGATTAATCCCTGTAGTTTCCTTGGAAATTTTCAGAGATTATTTGCTCTTGTCTTCTTCCTAGGATTAAGAGAAAATGTCTGGCCCAAAACCACTCAGCTAGTTCTGTCCTTAAGGCAGCACTAGAACTTCTAGTCTCCTGGTTTCTACCCCATTGCCTTTAACCATTATACCAAACTGCAGTGGTGGGATTCAGATTGTTTTACTACCGGTTCAGTGGGTGTGGCTTGGTGGGCGTGCTTTGCCTAATGCCCGTGTGCAGCTTTCCCCACACCAGCTGAGGCCTGCAGTGCCAATCAGCTGAGAGGATAAAGAAGAGAAAAGCCCAGGGGCGGGTGTGTGTGTGGGGGAGATCCTGCATTTTTCTTTCTTCTCTCAGCTGATTATCTGAGGCTTTTTTCCCTCCTCTCAGCTGATCTTCGGAGGCTTTCTTTGGCGAATGGCGAACCAGTCCGAACCAGTAGAATACCACCACTGCCAAACTGGGTCTCTTAAATGTCTGGAGTTTTAAAAATGCAACCAATACATGTGATAAAGGATTAGAAAGGGGACCAGTCTGGAGAAGTTGAAGTTTATTGTTTTATGTGTGTTGCATAAGCAAAAACTCAAATTGTCCAAATCCTAGTCTACTTTTACTATAGTGAGAATATTCTCACATATTTGGGAAGTACAGTAATTTACTGAATAGCCGTATCTCTTGTTTCCAATCCAAAGGAGATTATCTCTTATCATATAATACGTTTACTATTTTTTCCATAGGATCTGACCACATCCGAGAGAAAGATGGACTTTGGGCTGTTTTAATTTGGCTCTCAATTATAGCAGCTCGAAAGCAGGGCGTGGAGGAAATTGTTAGAGATCACTGGACAAAATTTGGCCGTCACTATTATTGCAGGTGAAGAGTTATCAGCAGAATGATAGCCATTTTAATTCAAGTTTTTGCAACATTTTTTTATGCCTTTAGAAATAACGATAAAAGTAGTTACAATTATGACTGTGCGTGTATCAAACCGCAAACCATTCATTTCAATTTTTGCAAAAACTACAATATCGGCTTGTACTGCAGCATAGAAATATGGTAATCATTGTAAAGTGAACTCTTGCATTCAGATATAAGTTGAGTGCTATTAATTTATAGCCAAGACATTTTTAAAAAATTACCAGCAGCATATTCCAAAAAATTCAAAACCAGACAATATTGGTATTCTAAAGCTAAAAGTATTAAGAGCATTGATGTTTTATTTGTGTATTATTTAATTTTATTTAACTTCTATTTGCATTTTATTATAAAAGGAAAATCATGAAATAGATAAACATTGTCCCATAATTATAACATTAAAGTTGTAGTAGCTTCATTTATACCAGGGGGTGTCCAATTTTGGCAACTTTAAAACTGTGGACTTCAACTCCCAGAATTGTATAGCTGGCTGAGGAATTCTGAGAGATGAAGTCCACAAGTCTGCCAAGGTTGGGCATCCCTGGTTTATGTCATCATGTTGTCAGGGTTCCAAGTAATATACCCATAGCAAACAAAACTCTGAGGCAAGTGGGTTCCTCAAAGAATAGTTTTATTGGACATATCATATTGGCACAAGCTGGTGAAAAGCGACTCTGAATACTCCCATGGTTTTCACCAAATTAAAAGTAAAAGTTTCTCCCCTTTCCCAAACAATTGGTCACATGGTTCAGTCCAGTTGCCTGGTGAAATTGCTCCTCCTCTCTCCAGCCACCTGTGGGAATGTCCTGCTTGTATTGCATTTCTAATTTTCTGACATGGCACCCACTCTTCAGACTGTCCTCCCCAAGATCAGACTTCCTCCAAACCTCTGGCCTTTCACAAGGCACTAAAACTTGGCTTTGCCATCAAAATTGGAGCCTTGGTAGTGTGGGTGAGGTGTTTCTCAGCTGAATTATTGTGGAACGCTTGGTTTCTACTTCTTATGTATTTTTGTGTTTAATTGCTGGTTTTGTTTTTAATTCTGTTTCTATCCCATTTTAACTGTCAGCTGCCAAGTCATATAAATACAGCCGTAACAGATTTCATAAATAAATAATACATATTAATTTTTCACATGTTTCTTGTTTGCAATACAAGATTTGATTATGAAGCACTGGATCCTAGAATGGCATACTACATAATGAGAGACCTGGAAGCCTTGATCACTGACAAATCTTTCACTAATCAACAGTTTGCTGTTGGAAACAATGTTTACACTGTGCAGAAAGCAACCAACTTTGAATATGTGGATCCCGTAGATGGCACTGTGACCAAAAGACAGGTATGCCCAGGAGATTTTTTTTTCCACACATAACATGACATCATTGAAAGAGGAAAATAACTGGTAAGAACCAGGACAAGACTTAAGATAATTGAGAACTTGCATAATTTGTCGCTTTTGCTTTAACCTTCACTGCCAGCAGCAACAACTAGATCTGAGCAGATTCCAAACATAGCAACTGGGAAAAGAAATAGAAATGTGCATTATTTTTAACTTTTGCTATTATAAGTGTGACAATTTTATTAATGGAAAATATCTCCAAGGCCCAAATAGTAAGCGAAATCATTTCTATTTTAATTAGCAGACAAGTCAAACAATTCCAGTTGTACATATATATATGTGTGTGTGTGTGTGTGTTTTCTTAAGTTTTCACGGGTACTTACATGTATGGTATTCAGCTATGTTCGGATATTTTCCCACGTCATTATAGTTGTGCTTTTAAAGTTGTAGCAACGTTTCGGCAGAATCTCATCTGCTATCATCAGGCTTCTGTATTGTGAAGACGAACACAATACAGAAGCCTGATGATGGCAGATGAGATTCTGGCGAAACGTTGCTACAACTTTAAAAGCACAACTATAATGACATGGGAAACTACCCGAACAAAGCTGAATACTATATATATATATATATATATATATATATGTTAAAAATTATGTCCTCATGTTGAATAAGAAAATCAATTATTGTTGCAAATGAACTCTTAATTGCTACAGTATAGTAACATTTACTTTAGCAAATGTCTGTTCTCAAGAATTCTGTTTCTGTGCTTATACAATATTTATTCATCCTGCAGGGGTTGAGGATTATATTCACTGATGCTTCCAGACTCATCTTTAGATTAAGTGCTTCAAGCCATGTGCGAGCCACCCTTAGAATCTATGCAGAAAGTTATGAAAAAGATCCCAGCAAACATGAGAAGGAGCCACAGGTAAACAGAGATAAATTACTTTTATACTTCCAAGAAAAAGATACTATGTATGTCAGCGGTCCCCAACCTTTGCGGCTTATCAGCCCTGCTTGGGGGGGGGGGAAGTGTGCCATGCATGCACACGTAGCTCGACTGCAAGTTGAGCTGAGTGCGCATGTGCGCCAGCCTGCTTCTCGCATGAATTGAGCTATACATGTGCCAGCCCACTACTTATGTGCCTGGGTTGCAAATAGGACACAGCCCAATATTGGGCTGGGTGTTGGGGACCCCTGGTTAAGATATTCAAAGGAAACTAAGATGTATGGTAGACTTCCCCACTGGTTGGCCTTCATTCATATCTGGAGACCATTTCTGTTCATGGGAAGGGGGGCACCGGTATGGCTAGGTCTAACCAGAGACATCATGCCTTTCATCTCTTACATTTATTAATTGAAATCACTTCAAACTGGAGGAAAATCCTGAATATTATGTAAGCAAATAGTAGATTGGTACAGTTTCATTCTTAAATATGTAGTGATGGTTCATGTGGCCAGACATTGTAACGATACAAATTGTAAAACATATACCCTTGGCAAGAGTGTTTTAAGTAATAGACTGCTTTACAGAGGGTATAAATTGGGAATTAATCATGGATAGCAGAGCAGAATCGATAAAGGTGGGGGAAGTTTTTCGAACGTTTTTTTAAAAATTCTAAAAATGCTGTCTCTCACCCGCAAAAAAATTCTCACTGGAAAGAGAGATTCCAGAAAGGTCACAATAAAGACACCGAATTGAGAGTTCTACATTTTGTTGCTAGTCCCACTTTTACCTCTGTCTCTTGTTCTTTCTTATTTCAAAATGCCGTGTTTACTGTAATCACATCATGTATTGACATCTCTCGCTGGCTGAGATCCCCAGTGCTGTGCCAAACCATGAATTGTTAATTATCCAATAATTTATTTATTTATTTATTTATTTTATTTCATTGTGTTGTTATGACCACCCATCCCACAAACAAGTGACTCCAAACTTTGTTAAGGCTTCATTTTGAGTCTTTATATATTTACAGGCTCTGTACTCTTATTATGCTACCTTATGGTTCAAGGATAAGCATTGGCAAAGTACAAAACTTTCCATGGTTGAAATGCAGTAATCCATGCCTTTTCTTTACATCACCTAAATAAGATTGCAAGTCTAAGCGCATTTATTTGAAGTGCAAGAGTTGCATTTCCAAATAAACAAATCAGGCAATAAAACCCTGATTTAAAAAGAATAGATTTCATCTTTCTGTTCCTTAAAGCAGAACTTAAGAAAGCTTCTCCTGCCAAGCCTAAAAAGATTGCAGCTCAAAAGGCAAGATCAAATTGTTTGTAATAAGAATGGGGGAGATTTGGGGGGCCTGTTTCTATAAAACTACTTTTATGTGCACCATACATGGCTATAGGATACATTCTTTTAACATGAAATTTTCTCATGGTAGAAAAGAAGGAAATATATATATTTTTATGCACAGAGACCTCCTTATTTCGCCCTTTCTCTTTTATTTTACTTTCATAAATTTAAATTTAAATTCAGCATAGCTCGTTGTTAAGCTAATTTGTCTGGAGAATTACTTTCCTAATGTATTCCAGTAATTTGCTGCAGTTATACTGCAGTTGGGAAATACATCCAAGCAACTTTTGGATTCCTTGTAAGGAAGAAATGCGAAGCTGCTGGAGAGTTCTTTTCTGTATTTATAAACAAAAACTGTTCTGTACTAAAGAGGAGCTAAGGGATAAAGGAGTGTTTCAGCAAATGCAGCCAACATCTCCAGAATTCATACTTGCTGTCAATTTTGCCAAATTGGAAATGTTCGCCAGACAGGCTTTCTCAAGGGAGGAGAAGGAAGAACAGTATCTAAATTATCTGGGGATGAGAATAGCATGTGAAATTAAAAATTAGGGTTCAGCCTTGCATCCAGGATGGGTACCACAGTTGCAGAATAATCTTAGCTCTCGGTAGGAAATGTATTTAAGATTGTCAAAATTATCAAGTTATTCAATCCAGCTTTTTTTTTTTTCCGGAGGGAAAGTGTGTCTGGGAGAAGATTTAAGGTGGGATGTTTTGCTAGAGATCCATTAAGAGCAAAGTGCCAATAGTTTTCTTTCTCCCCACTCCCTTTTTTTTTCTATTTGGGAAAAAAAAAACCCTTTACTTGCTGTTTTTATCAATAGGAACAATAAATTGGGAAAGCAGCAAGTGCATAAAAACCAGAAAAGGAGAACATATTTCAATATCGGGAATATTGTTAGGATGCTTAGTTATGAGCCGATATAACTTAGGAAGAGGGTCCTTTCTAAGTTTTTTCCTCTGACTGTTAAGCCATTGAGGGCTCCCCGCTCTTTTGTCCCATTGTTTCCTGGCCAGCATCCCATTCCCTTGGACCCCAAGGTCATCCTGATTTACATTTACATGTTGTAACATCTTGAAACAGATTTAAAAAACAAACGAACAAACAACATCTGCGCATAGAGGTTGTGAATATCTGTTCCAACTTTTGACCCATAACTAGGAATAGTGAGGTTTGGAATCTTTCCCAAGTGATGTTTTGCTGCAGCTGCTAGAAGAACCAGGTATTTCCCTTCGTATGTGAAATGGCATGACCCGGGCCACTTTGTGCCCAGCCAGTGCAATAATGAACATACTCTTTGGAGAAAAATTAATCACCAGCTAATACCCAGATAATAGAATAGGCAGCGCAATCGGACTAGAAGTAATTCTTACACATTGCATTAGGTCATAATGGAATTTATTCATTTTTTTCTGTACCCGAATACACCAATCGTTGCAGAAATAAGTCATAAGTGATCAGCAGATCATTTTTTATGGCATGCAGTATCTTCCAACATTGAGTTGGCAGAAACTTGGCAACTGCAGCAGCAACATTTTTCATAAGAAAGAAAGAAAGAAAGAAAGAAAGAAAGAAAGAAAGAAAGAAAG